ATTTTGTGGTAGTTATTAATTTATCACCTTTAGCTGTGTGAATTAAATCAAGATCGAGGACCAACCCAACATATAGTGAATAAACTCTTCAATATAACAACTTTACCCTTTGGAATGGGGAGTTAGAAGGGGTTGGAGAGGGAGGGACAGATGGGAAGAAGGATAGGGGAAGGTTAGCAGTGTGGCCAGGGGTCACAGGTGAGAAGGAAAAAGAGAATAACAGGAAAATAAAGAACTCCGAATGAGGACCAAAACAAGGACAAAAAGGGAAATGAACAATGTGAGAGAGCAAGAGAGTGAGTGTAAGAGAGAGAGAAAGGAAAGAGAAAAGAAAGAAGAAAAGAAAAGAAAAAAGAGAAAAACATATTTGCAAAGAGTAGGAAAAAAATGAAAGATAAGAGGAGTAAAAGAAAAGAGAAAAAAAACCAAACTAATAATACTAATTTGGGGAATAAAAAATAACAATGAAGATGAAGGGCCTCTTTTAGGGTATGTCTCTGCTGTCACAATAGATAACGTGGGTTGCAGTGTGCAGATATAAGTCAATGAGTCTCAGCAAGCTAGTCACAGACCCGTGAGATTCAGGCAGATTTCTGGCTGCAAGTCCCAAGTTGAGCTCCCTGTCCTCCTGTAGGGTTGAACTCTGCAGAGTTGTATTGCAGGTTCCAGCTGCCCTTCCCCTGAAGATAGTACTGGTCCTGATGGGAGGTGAAGATGACTCCAACTTACCCAGTACAGTGGTCTGGTGGTCTGGTGTCCTCTGCGTCTTTGTAGTGTGGAGCCCGGTGTCTGTACAGAGAAGAGGCCAGAGGAGCCCGGGGAGGGGGGGCCCTCAGCGCGACTCGCGACCTTGGTCCAGCGTCCGCAGACCTGCCTGTCTGCAGCGGGCCGATTCGGCGTGCTCTGAGCAACCTTTTCTTTTTTTACTTTGAGGGGTCTTGCCAAGTCACTAAGCTGCCAAGGCTGGGCTGTGATCCTCCTGCTTCAGCCTCCCAGAGTGCTAGGCTTGTAAGCAGGTGCCACCATGCTTGCCTAAAACCACAGTTGTGTTTCACAGTGCATATGCTTTTTTTTTTAATTTGAGGATTTAGAAAATGTGTGATAAATGAACAGTTAATTAGAATCTTAATGTAACAAACCATACTATTCCATGAATATTCTCACTAGAAACAAAAATTGTTTTGAGCTGTTCTTCATTATTTTGTGCATATCTTCCTTGTTAATTCTAGTATACCATTAAATGTTATTCAATGCTAAGCTAAAGGTCATTTTTATTGCATTAGGAAAAATTCTTGCTTTCTAATATGGGAATAACTGTAATAATTCAGAGTAAAATGAAATGTCAAAGTCTATTTTAGAAACACCACTCTAAATATTTAAATATTGCACTGCTAATTTTGGTTAATTTTAAATAAAATAAGACTAATGAAATTATATGAAAAACATGTTCTGATGAATTAGAAAAGTCTTGAGGATTAGCTTTTTTTTTTTTTTTTTTTATTGCTGAGGATAGAACCCAGGGCTCATACGCTTTACTGCTGAGCTATATACTCAGCCCGTTAAGATTAGTACTTTTTATGGCCAGGGATTTTGCTCAGTGGTTCCGGCACCTGACTTGCAAGCACAAGATTCTGAGTTTGATCCCCGGTACAAAAAACAAAAAACAACAACAAAAGATTAGCACTTTTTATACTGTTTCTTTTTCTTTTTTTTTTGCAGTACCTGGGACTGAACTCAGGACCTTGCACTTGTGAGGCAGGCACATTGCCACTGAGCTAAATCCCCGGCTCTATACTGTTTCTTTATAGACTGTGGAAGATTATTGTAGAAACTGCAGTCATGATTATTTTAAGCTCTGGTTTTACCAGCTGAAAAAAAAATGGTTTTTTTTGTTTGTTTTGGTACCGGGGATTGAACTCAGGGCCTTGCACTTGCGCAGCAGGCGGCAAAACCACTGAGCTAAATCCCCAGCCCTGTTTTTTACTCTTGTATAACTATTGTCACCTCTGGCTCCCCAAACACCTTGTCAGAAATGCCATTACAATCCTCATTCCCATAGGAGGCAAATGAAGGCTGAAAGTTTAAAGCCTCCACTTGAGCATACACCTCAAATTCAGAGGGCAGGAGTACCCCACTCCCAACTCTTCCCCCTTATCAGACTTGCCCTTTACTTCCTCTTCTTCTTAGAACAACTGCTTAGGTAAACATTGATTATTTGCACCTGTTGTTTTAGGATCAGTGGCAGCTAGACATGGTGGTTCACATCTATAGTCCCAGATATAATTGGGAGGCTGAGGCAAGAGGATTCCTTGAGCCTAGGAGTTTGAGACAAGCTTGGGTAACATAGTGAGAACCCATCAAAAACTGAACAAACTAAAAGAATGATAGAAAGGGAGGTGCTGGGTTATTAGCAAATGCTTGTTATCATTCTGACTCAGGAAACCTTGGAAAGCTCCTAAGCCCTACATCATTCCCAAGGCCTATGGCTGGTTTGCCTTTTCCCAGGGCCTATTATTTAGGGTCTGTCTGTTGCCCTATGAAGCAATGGTGCCTCCTTGCCCTCTGTTTGCTCACCTAGTCACCTTCTCCTGGGAGATGGAAGGGTGGGTGTATCAAAGCAAGAGAAAGCATCAGTGGCTGTTTCTTCCCCTGCACCTTAGATACACCCACTTTAATTAATTATGGAGTCTGTGTTTCACAAAACAGTTTCTTTTCTTTTTTGGAAAAGCCATTGTGAAACTCACATGGTGATGAGGAAACAAGTGGCTGAAAGCAACCCTGCAGCACTGTGTACACACTCAGTAGCATTTTTTGTGCATATGAAAAGATGACTTCAAGCTCATTTTAAAGTGCCCTGAAAGCCACTATCACTTGCGCTTTGCCTCTTCACAAGTTATAAATCACTATGCATATTTGCCTCACAGGGGCCCAGCCTGCTGGTTAATTTTCCAGCTAATGAATAGCTAATTGAAATGCTTATCAAGAAGGAAGACATGCCTCCCCCAGAATCTCAATCTTTTAGGAGCATTCATATTTAAAATGTATATCAGAGTGTTACCTCACCCCTAAACCAACCCAAAGTAGGACCATTTTTACAAGAGTCTTTTGAAAGGCAGTGTGTGTTTTTGAGGTAGAGGCAGGAGTGGGGAGAGAAGGTTATTGTTAGGGACAACAACACACAGTTGTAATGTTGTAATGACAGTTGCAGGATTTTGGCAAAACAGGATCCCCATTTTGAAGTTTTCACAGAACAGTATCCACAGGTCAGAATCTCAAGGCCCATTCATCCCAAGTTTGACTCAGTGACTGGCCAGGAGTTCCTGAAGGCTGAGTTGCTTAATTTGGGATGCAAGATGTTTCTTAAAAGCACGAACTCCTGGGTCGTACTCCAGACCTACTGAAACAGATTCTTCCAGGGGTGAGGCTAGAATTGCTGCCCCTTAAACAGGCTTTCTGGGTAATTCTTAAGCACACTGAAGTTTCAAATCACCAGAGACTTGTCTTTTTACCCACTGATGGATCCAAGAGCCTGGAACAACAACTGACACAGCTCAACAAATACTTGTTGAATGAGTGAAGGCCCTGAGGGTTTGTGTCACTCAGAGGCTTCAATGACCCATCTCTTCCAGACCATCTAATAACCCAACATACTGCCATAAAACAAGTATAATATCATGTCCCCCAAGGTGCCTTTTTAGCCTGGCCTGGGGGAGGGGATCTTTCCTATCTGTGCCCAACAGCCTCAGCGAAGTGTCCCCACCTTAATAGGCCTCTTTTCTGTATGGAATGAATTGCAAAAGTCACATCAGAACAAGCAGCAAACTAGTGTCATAGTTCTGCCCTCTTAATAAAACTAGTTAAGGTTAGTCTGTCATCTACTGGTAAACTGAATCTGGCAAATTTCTATTTGCCAACCAGTATTTTTTATAGGCTGAATAATGAAAGGATCAAACGTCCCAACTGCTCAAACCACAGGAAAAGGCAAGAAAAATATAATCTTGTTGTTGTATATACAAGAGTATATATATAAATATATACTGTGTTAAGACTGAGTTGACTTATTAGGAATCCACTGCATCCTTCAACAGGTGAATGGATAAAGAAATGAATATCCATACAATGGAATACTATGCAACAATATAAAGAAAAAAACTGATACACACAACATGAATGAAGCCAACCCCAAAAGATTATACACTGTGTGATTCTGTCTTTTATGACATTAAGAAAAATGCAAAACTCTAGGGAGGGAAAACAGATCAGAGGCTGCCTAATTAGTTTTGTAGCAAATTTAACTACAAAGGGATAGTACAAGGGAATTTTGGGGAGCGATGCAATGATTTTTACATCCTGATAAAATGGTAGTTACATTCTGAATGTTACAAATCATAGAACTGTATGCCCAAAAATGAATTTACTATAAGCAAATTATATTTAAAAAGAACCCACTACATTCACAATTCATTTGGATTCTGGGGACCCCTAAGACACTTCCCCTTTTTTATCAATGTGGGAAACGCATTAACAAATTGTCATGGAATGTAAGTGTGAAATTGAGGGATCACTGCTGGTACACTTGTCCATGCTAAGTGTATTATACCTAGGGCCAAAATACAGCATGTAATAAACTGGAGATTATTTTGTAAAAAATTCCTTTATTATAGTGCAAATAACTTTCAGCGGTGACATAATGTAACAACACATTTAGCAACATTTTACACCACGCAGTAAATAAGAAAGTGTTTCTTTGAAAATATTTTATCATAGGAACATTATTTCTACATTAATGTCAGAAAATGCCAAGGCTGTTTCTCAAGGCAACAGGGCTCTCTCCCTCTTTTTGGATATTTTCTTTTAAATACAAATAGAAGGATTTGCCATTTAACAAAGCATCAATTCTAAGAGTAATCTCTTAGGGAGGTTTTCAACTGAGGTTGGTAAGATCTGAAATGGGTTTTCAAAATTTAAAAAAATAATTTTAAGACAATTCTTGGATAGCCCAGAAAGTAGAAGTCACTTTCATTAAATGGTAAGTAGATATACACTTTCACTTCAATTTTGCTGCAGAAATAGATTGTCTAAAGCCTGTCTTTTATTTCCCCAGAGCCTGATTGTTATTCCTTTGTTTTAGTTATTGCAAAACTAGGGCTCTGGACAGAAATAACTCTTTACATATGCAAATACTTTCCTGTGAAGCTTTAAATTGCACTTTCCATCCTGAAATTTCCACCTGAGACCTTACATGCCAAGGAGAGGGTATGAACATGTTCCAGTTTACAGCTAACCATTAGGATAGAAGGCCCTCTACTCATTTAGCTATACTTAGACCATCACACCATTTAATCTCAATAGGCTTATCGAAGAGGTTCCCCCTGGCCTCACAGGGAATTGAAGGGTTAATACTGTATTTTCACACTATGCTGCCTAAGGGCTTGGCTACTAATGAGTTAGCTGATAGGTTGAGAGAATACAGTGTCACTTCCAATCAGTTATGCTCCTGCTCCTCTAGTTTCCACTGAATTATACAGTGGGTGGGAACAATGCCACTCAAAAAAGGCCTCTCACAGGGTCTTCCACCATAGTTGAATCAAACCCATTGCAAACAAATTTCAGGGTACCCCCTAAGTCTTTCTACAAGCAGTCTTCAAAAGTGAGGAGTGAAAGGTTAAACACAGGCTTGAAAATACCCGGAGCCACAGATCAGCCCTCAGAGCTGAATATGGCTAAGTCAGCTAGTATAAACAGCTTGTAATGTGCAGCAAGTCTTTTTGGATACAGTATCTTTGTATATAACACCATGGAACTGTGCTGAACAGTTTCAAAGTTGAAAAGAATCCAAAAATACCACCTATAAAAAAATTCACAATTTTAGTTTGCTTTGTTTATCTTAGACTTTGGTACTGAAACACTGTCTACATTCTCGACACATGAAAATGATCTGGCCACTTCAGTGCCTCTGCATGTTGTGTAAAAAAGCAAAGCAGGACAAGGACATGTTATAACAAGACGCAGTATGCTGTACAAACAAAACCTAAATTATATATAAATACACCCCCATCCCAGCACCCCTTTCCTCCCCCACTACCTAGCCAAAGCAATGCCAAGGGTCCTTCTCTTTAGGGCCACAGTACCTTGTGAAGTCCAGCTCCCAGGACTCCAACTGTCCCTGGCCTTGCAGTAATATTACAGTTTGTAGCCTCCTGCTGGAGACACACTACCATTTGATCACTTCCACAAGTGCAGGGAAACCTCTACAGCTTCACTGGAATCATTCACACTATTGCCTGGACTCAGAGACCTGGGGTCCTAGGACTTAACCTGTCAGATAAACAACTGGATCCTTTCCTAATCTCAATCCCATCTCATCCTACTGTGTACTCCAAGGCAACACAGTAAGAAGCATCTTGTACTCTGAAGCTCCAAAGGCATTGCCTAGGGATGTTAGTGAGGGTCACATAAGAAAAGTTATACAATGAGCTAACAGCTTAAGTTGATATAAATTATTTCCAAGTTATTTCAGTTCATTTGTTTCTGCTTTACACTGCATTCCAGAATCATTTTCAAATTATACTTTTTTTTTTTTTTTTTTTAGTACCAGGGATCAAACTCGGGTCCTTGCGCTTATGCAGCAGGCAGCAAAACCACTGAGCTAAATCTCTGGCCCTCAAATTATACTTTTAAAAGTTTATATAAGTCATTCAAAAAATTGTCTATGTAATCACATCTTATGTGTTTTCAATTAATTTAATAACAACTTAATGAGCTATTATGTAAATCTAGGGAGTAATTAGTTTTAAAGAAGCCAATACTGTGCTAATTCACAGTAAAGAGAAGAAGCACTGCAAATAGAATTTTATATAATCAACAATAACTTGAAAAGCAGTTTTATCGAAACACTGCAAATTTTTCCCAAAAGCACTTACAGAAATTCATATGACGAGATCCAAAGTTCAGGGGTTTGGACAATACAACCCAATTCTTTAAGGTATAAATTCACCTGTTATGACTGTAATATGTAATTTTCTTTCCTCAGACCTAAGATATTTATACATTCAAAAGTTTATAACTTGCTGTTCTTGAGACATTGCTCATTCTCTAATACATACGTTGAATATAAATAAATAGCTACGAGAAAGCTTCAAAAATCTGAATTGACATTATGCTATGCCAAAAAAAGAAAAAAGAAACCAAACAAAATTAAACCTTGAATAACCTACATTCTATGTAAATACCCTGACTAAAAAGTTGGTTGTGCTACACAATTCCACTTCAGTGCAGAAATGCGTTGATTTCGGTGTACCGTTGTTTTAAATGTCTTTAGCACTTTTGTTTCTAAACATCACCTTGGTTTAAAATGATGCATAATTTGATATGAAATCACAAATCATTACCAATCCATTTTAGTTTAGTCTGAATAAAATCCAGCATAAATGTATTACTTTGTTTTGGGAATAATGGCTCGGTGTCTTTGTCCAACAGCTTTCTTTCTATGGGCAAACCACAGTTGAAGTTGTCATTTTGGGTTTAAACTGCACAGAAAGAAGAGACAGTGAAGCCTGCCTTTTGTTTTCTTTTTAAGTCTCTAGATCTTGATAGGACACTTCTTCCAGACCAATAGTTATGTAGTTGTGGCACCTGATCCTATTTGAAATAGAGGTGGTTTAAACATCATCAGCCAAGCTTGGTGATCTGGAGGTCCCCATTTATCTTTATGGTGTCAATTGCAGATAATGTTTGAATACGATGGTAAAAATCAAAAAGTTGGTGTCCATCTACAAACACTCTGAAACGTGGGTGCTCACAAAGAATTTCCACCTGGAACAAACAAATATATCAATTCATGATTTCAATGAACCCTACTGGGGAAAACCAACTTCATTTTAGAAAAAAAAAAAAGGCATAATCTTCAGTGATTCTCAAACATCAGAATGCACTTGAACCACAGAGACAGCTAGTTGGAACACAGATTGCTGGGAGTCACTCCCCAAATTCTCAGTTCAGTAGTTCCAGAGTAAGTTTTAAGAATTTGCATTACTACCAAGTTCTAAGGTGATGCTAATGTCACTGGGACAGGGAAAACACTTTGAGAACCATTGCTCTATACTATTCAATATCCTTTAAAGATTTTTAAATTGCTTAGGCTTTTAACATTTCTCCTCGCACTCCAGAAAGAGATGTAAAAATAGCACAGATTTGTTTATATGGCATTTAATGCCTCCAAGGTCTTCCCCTGAACAATTTCATCCCATCTTCAGAGGAGCCCCTCACGAGGCAGAACTGGTACCCATCAGTAGCATGTAATAATAGTCTAGGCACTAAATATGGTAAACACCAGAAAGAAGGTTACACAGTAATTACCACTGGACTAAGAATGTGTAATTAACAAGGCTTTGTTAAGCCAAACAGAAATACTGATTCCACATGGTAAAAGCTTTTTTCTCTCCTTTTCCTTAAGTTATTCACCACAGAGTCTAATTATTGGTTCTGTGCTATGATGTATTTATTAAAAGCACTAGTATATACCATGTAAGGAAAGACTCCATATGTGATATTAGTCATATTTAATTCATATTATTGCTAAAATTATAGCACCAAAGGTCTATTCACTCCAATTTTGTTGTTGGGGAGCATTATAGTCTTTTTGGCAGTCAGAAACTCAGGTTGCTCACACTCATGAGCTAGGGATTAGGATTCATCACCAAGAAGATCCATCCCAGCCAAGAGGAGCCTAAGAGAACATTATCATCCTAAAGAAGGGGGTGGTATGCGAGGGGATAATGGGCCAAGGGTACCTTCTCCAGACTATGATGAGAAGGGAAACAACCTCAATTCTATCACTGACGTAAAAGTTATGGATTCTTATTTTCTGCCCATACTGTAAAAAAGAGAAATAATCATAAGATCTTTGAAAACTTCTACGTGAAGAGCAACACGTTAATGGCAGTTCTGCTTGATCAGACTCATACACAACACAGAGCTTACAGTTAATAGAATGTGATGAAGAGAACTTAATCACTAGGCCTGACAGGACTTACTAAAGTCCGTAATTTTAATGCACTACAAACTTGTATCTCTTGTTTGGCACTGTCCTCCATGGAAGGAGGTGCTGCTAATGCTGCCTGATACATGGCAAGTAGGGGTTGTGTTTCCTGCCTGCTAGATGGTGAGGAGCAAATCTATATTCATCCAGGCCCAAGGGAAGGAATTTATCACACAGCCTGTGACCATGAAACAGACTGAGGCTTAATTAACCCAGAGAGGAAAACAAGGACACAGGTATGGCCTCATTACCAAAGGGAATGAGAGAGCAAGAAATAATAATCACTTAGTTCTTCAGAAAGTCATAACTAATAAGGTTTTGAGCTACTTTCAGGCCAAGAAAAAAATGAGGAAAATTCTAGATACTTGTTAATATTTACTAATTAATCAGATATTTGGGGGCAAATATTTACTATATGCTTAATACCATGTTGAGTACTACATAGCAAAGTATTAAATTAATACTTGCACAGTAGTTGTTCAGTATTAACAATCTGGCTATATAAATATGGTGTATTTACTAAATATATGGGCTGAAGAAAGCCTTTGGTGAATATTAATATCTATTAGCACACAGAGCTCTTTTAATTTTTTTCTTTCACCATCAGGTGACAAAGTTCCTGGCCATGCAGAATTCTGGCTGCTTCAAGTGTGCTTGGCACATACAAGATAAGGAGAACATCACTGCTCTGCCAGTGGTTATGGCCAAGGCACTCGAGGTACTCACCCTGAATGGCTGGTCTGGGATGAAAGGGAAGTAAGGGATTGCTGACTGTTCTTCACCCCTTTGCCCAGATATACAAGAATTTCTGAGTAGCTGCCGGTCTGTGAACACAGCTTTGAGTTCAATTGCCACATCGGCGGGAGGATCTTCCGAGTCACCACAGGTCAAACTGATTGCAAAGCTGAAAAGAAAATAATTTCATTTATTCAGGATTGGATCTAACATTTCAACATGATCTAAGTCATTCCTCTTCTTGGTTTGTCTGTGTTTAATGGGTCACTACTGTTCACAAGAGTTTAGACTACAGAGAAGAGGGATTATTCTCAAAGCAGTTTTGTTACAGAAAGCAGGCTCTGGTGAAAACTGTGGTGGAGTTGAAATGACTGAAATTAAGAGTTCAAGTACCTCAAACCATTCACACATCTGTATCTTAATCCATTTCAGAATTCTCAAAAAACAGCCCAAGAAGCTGACCCAGAAGAAATAATATCTTGTAAAGTTTGGTTCCTACTTCAACTGTTGGTTTTTGTTCCAAGAACCACATTTCAAAACTATATATATATATATATATATAAATCCTTTGGCCTCCCTAAGGGTCAAAGAGAAAATGTGGGTCTATATTTATCATCTCTGATATAAATAGCTGTCTGGAGAAATGATGGCTAGGATTCATACACATTCTTTTCATGGGAACATGGTACTTTCTTGGCACTCTCAACTAGCAACACTGTCCACAAGGGGAGGAAAAGGAAGAGATTAAACCACAACAGGAGTGGGCAGGGCCCTACCACTGCCTAATAATTCTGAGGGTCGCAGGACTCTCTCTCTGCCTTACCTCTCTGGGTTGAGGTCTACGATGCCCATCACTAATACCTTCTTGCCTGGTCTCATGCCACCTTTAATGTGCCCACAAAATGGAACGATCTGCAAAGGAGGAGTGGAGAAACAAGAAGTTTACAGGCTGTTAGAGAAGTGCCAAGCCCTCAGATCCTGAGGACCTGACTCATTAAAAAATGCAGGAAAATGTAGTTATAAAGGAAGGGGTACAGGCAGAGACATAGAGCACAGAGCAAACCATTTACCAGTCGCGGGAAGTACACGTCGGCTTGAACTGGAGAGCCCAAGGAGTTGTTTAAATGCCCATCATCCAGTTTCTAAAAATAGAAGCACACAGATTGGCTTTCCACTGACCCTTTTTTCTTAGGGGGTTTGGCGGAGCAAGAACCTACATAAATCTGCCAGCATCCAGCAGCCCACCACAGACACACAGGCTGTTTCTGCAGATGATGCCTCTTCATAGGCCATGAAATACCGCCGCCTCCCCCCCCAACAAAACCGTTCTTTCCACCAGGTAGCTAAACATCCCTGCAGATCCAGATCAAATTCAAGGTCGAGGGCCTCTGAGAAGGCAGGAGGTGGGCAGGCCCTTCTTCAACTACAAACGATTCAGGAACCGGTGTCGCCCAGGCCTGTCCTCCGAGATGTGGCTGAAGTAAAGCGGGAGAGCTCAACTTCTCTCAGGAGCCCCAGGCACCGACCCACTTCCATCCGGGAATCCCCCAGATCTCGGGGGCGGCCGCGGGGCGCGCACCCCAGACACTCACCCCCGTGAACACACGTGCATCACGCACACACCTGGCCAGTGGCTGCACAGGCACGGAGTGCGAGTACCTCTACCTCGCCGACGCCCCACACTGCCTCCCCCAGCCCAGCGCCCTCCGGCCCGGAGAGCCCCCAAGGCCCCCACGCCAGCCGCGCGCGACCCGCTCTTGCTAACAGGTACCGGGCGCCTTCCCACGCGGGGGCGCCGGGCTGGGCCTGCAGATTCTCTCCGCCCCAGCCTGGGCTGGAACAGGCGGCGGCGCCGGCGGGCAGGGCGGCGGGAAGGGGGCGCCTCGCGTGCGCCCGCCACACTCACCCCCACGGCATCACTGTCGGCCACCGATCCCGCCATGTTCTCGCACTGCGCGGCGGGCGGCCGGGCGGCGGGGTACGCGGGACAAGGCGCGGGCAGGGATCCCGGGCGGTCCTGCGCGGCGCGGGGGCGCGGGTCCGAGATGGGTGCGGGCGCGCGCACACACGGCCACGCGCACACGCTCGCCCAGGGGCCCGGCGGCAACCCGGCAGGCAGGGCCCGGAGCAGGGGGAGGCGGGGGAGGCGGGGAAGGGAGGCGGCGCGGAGCCCGAGGTCTAAGGTGGCTGCCGCCGCCGCCTGGACCTGCACGGAGGCTGCAGAATCCCTGCCTGAGCTACTGCGGCTCCTGCTGCCACCGCCGAGAAAGAAAGGTGGCGAGGCCCACGCCGCGACGGTCCCGGGTGGCATTTAAAAGCCTCCAGGTCCCGGCTCCGGAACCGGGAACAGGGCGGGGACCCTAGCCGCGGCTTGCTCAGCTTGCCCTGCCCTTCGGCCATTGGACGGCAGCGGAGGCTGGGGCGGGAGGGCCGGGCCAGTCCGGCTCGGAGCCTGCGGAGGGCGGGGGCCCTGTCGGCGCGGCCCGCGGGAAGGTGGGTGGGGCTGGGGAATTGGGGAAGGGGAGGACCCCGGCCTGCCAGGTGACAGGTGATTGTGACCGCCCCCCTCCCCCAGCCTCCTGGGCACTAACCTTCCTTTTTCCCCTTTCGGGGGTTTGGGGGGACGGTGGGAGGTGAGGTCGAGGAAAGACTCCAGAGCGGGAGATTGAGCAGGATTTCTTTCAGAGAATTCCAACAAAGTGGGGGGGAAAGATTCATTCAGCCGTCCAGGGCAGAGAGAATGTAAGGTCTCAAGGCTTGCAGAAGTAAATATCTGACACTAAAGAAAGAGGCAGAGAAAACTCAGATGGTGGCATTCTAGTTTGGGAGGATGGATACCGATCAGGCCTCTTTTCCCGGTGGAAGCACAGGCAGGGATGTGGGTCCCCGAAGGCCAGGGGTCTGGCTATCTCAGCAAATTAGACCGGACTCAGCGACTGTCCTCAGGAAACCTCCACTGGGCTCTGCTTTTTACAAGTCATTTGCCCAGGTTGGGGTAGTAATTTCTCACTGAAAAATCTCTTGACATCCTTTGTGGAGTAATTCCCAGAGAATATACCCCTCTTCTATTCTAAGCCATATATTTCTTTATGGCATTTCCATATTAGTATGATTATGTAACCTCTCAGATAAAGCTGTATCAACATACCCTTTCTTAGGTGGCATCCTTGGCTTATACATTCCATTGTGTGACTCACCAGGGAATACTACACTAACAAGCAAGGAGTGTGTGTGACCTACTGCAATCCCAGAGGAGCCCTCAGAGGCTCCCTTCCAGCAACTGTTACTGGCTGTGTGGCCAGGAGCATCACTGCAGCTTTTGTGTTTTAGCTTTCCTTTTATGGACCAGAGCTAATCATGGTAATCTCAGTCGCACAGGGAGAATTACCTGCACACGCTTGTAAACCACAGTCATATCTCTTTGTGGAGGTGATTTTCTCAATTAGCGGCTCAAGTACAGCACAACTGTCACTCATATTTTTGCTTGTGCTTACCAGTCTTAGTTTAAAAATCACATTTAGGCAGTTATGGGAAACTATTGACATTTTGAAAGCATACTTCAATATACCTCAATTTCTAAGAATTTGGTAGAGGGAAAAAGCACTAAAGTAGTTCTTTGTCATTGACTACACTAAGAGTGACACAATCCATCGAAGTGATGAAACATCTGGTATCCTGGGGTTCAAATTCTGATTTTACTATTAATTGACTGGGTGATCTTGAAAAACTCACTAAACTTTGTGCCTCAGTTTTTGTGGATCCCTCCAGCTGCTTTGTGGAGTGACTTTGGCAAAAAGGATAAAAGAGGGAGGAAAAACAGGACTTAGGAGACTCTTGTGTCAGTCCAAGCAAGAGGTAATAGTGGTTTTGACAGGTAGAAGTGGTAAAGATGTGAGAAACCATGGGCCCTTGGTACTTCCTAGTTATTACCACTGTGAAGCTTTGACAGTTTATGTCCCTTCTGGATCTGTTTCCTTACTTGGAAAATTAAGGGGTTGGACTCATTCATCATTCCCTCTTAGCTCTTAGTATGTTATCTGGTTCCTAGAAAGCTGTATAAATACCAACCGAATTTAAATAGGTTTGATAGTAGATGCTGCTGCATGAAAATAATCTTGAGTTGAATCTGGTGGTAAGTGCCTTTGTAGGATGAAGAATAACCCTTTGATTTGTATCACGGGTGGAATTTAAGGTGTTGGATTGCTGAAGATGAGTTTCTTACATTTTAGAAATGTAAAGAATAGCAAGGTATTGAACTTTCCCAGAATACTTTGTCCTGGAAAATTATTTTATTCCAAAAAGGCATCATTCCCTCTCAATCAATCTACACAATGGTTAATTTTGTACATGGTGAGCAGAGAGAAAAGACTAAAAGAAATTTTTGTTGTAACTAAAAGCTTAGCAGGGTTGAACTACCTCTTACAGGGAAAAGTCATTAACAAGTTAATGAATTATAGAGCTCAAAAAATCTTTTTTTCAGAGTTGTAGAGTGAAGGATAGGCAAACTTTGCACTACGCTTTGAATACAGTCATTTGTATCTAAAAATCATTAACCAAGATTGTGACCCATTTAAAAATACAACTGAACTCTCAAGATGAAGTGCAGTACTACTAGAAACTACTAAAAAGGCTATAAAAGGGAGGAGGGCAAATACAATTAGCATTGAGAAAAGTATAAACAGGACTTTGAAAATAGACCTTGCTAAAGGATCTCTCCAGATAAAAACAGGAGATCACTTCTCTTTTTTCTTATCATTGTATATGTTTTATTCAAATGTATACTTGTAGAATTTCTAACATTGAGGAATAAAGCATTGATGGTGATTGAACATCCATTTGATCATTATGGCTATGAGCAGTGGTACTATGGAACAAGAAGAGAGATTTGCAAATGATTCCAAGAACCTCTAATATAAAGGATGACCTGTCAGGGTCCCTGGGTATAGCTGCCAGCTCAAAAGTCCTTGCAATAGTAAAAGATCTGTGTCCCTTTTATGTTCGGTTCTACAATATTGCTGTTTATTTTGATATAAACATAGTGTGCTCTTACACTTGTACATTTAGTAAAATGACCGTCTCAAAGTTGACTGTGTTTATTACCCTGTGGCACAGACTCCTTACCCACCCCATGGCTGAAGGGTGGTTGTACCCCACTTTGAGGAATAAGGCCCTGCACAGTGTTGTTGGCCCATGCAGGCTTTCAGTTCTCCGTAACTGCTTTTGTTGGGACAGTCTCTGCTCTCATGATCAGTATTTATGTAAGCAGCAAAATACACAAACTCAGCATTCTTTTGTTTACCTGCTTAGGTAGGACGTCAAACATTTATCAAGCTATTTTTCAATATTTCAAAATACAATTACGGTTTTTAATTATTTTAAGAACTGTAGTTTTGGTTATCAAATAATTATTTTAGATGAGTACACACAAATTCCTGTTATATCTAAGTAATTAGGAGACAGCCATAAAACTTGGCAGTCAATGCCACTTCCCAACATTTCATTATTTTTGGTTTATTTATGAGGAAACTAGAACCAGCCTCCTGTGTGTGTTTTAATTACTTACTACAGGAAGGGTTGATTTCAGAAAACCTCCCCCTTAAGACAATCATGAGCCTATTCCCTAGAGGAGCTCTGGGCTTCAAAGGTGTCTGCTGCCCCATGCCCCAGAGATGTCTGGGATGTCGCAGTGGGGTTTTTAGCAAGCCTGAGAAGCCATGCTGGAGCTACCCCTTCCAAGAGAGCCTCTTCCCTTGAAAGGCAACAAAAGCCTGGCTGGCAGGGATACAGAATGTGTTCTGCCTAGGGACACAGAAAGAACCCTGCTTCCAATGCTCAGAATGGGCAGCCTGAATGAGCAGTATTTTAGACTCTTTCCTTACAGCAGGGCTTTGTTCTTGTGCCTGCACTGAGAGTCAGGGATGTATTTCTGCACCTTCTCTTCAGCCTCACCTTCCTGCAATTCCAAGAGGCAAATCTGTGAATCAGCCAGGATTTTACCTGTAAAGAATGTGACAAGCCTTGCAGGCCATGCCCCAGGCCTAATTATATTCTTGTCTTACTTGATGCTTCTGTTTTCATTTGCTGGCATATAGTCCTCCCTTTCATTGCCTCTGTGATTTCATTTTCTTGTTGTCAAGTGGTATAAGGGGCTTCTTAGTTTTGTTATTTAATGGAAACTTGCCTGGCTTAGCTGGGTATAAGGAAATGAAGATTCCGATTCAACCGTGATTTGGAAGTCCTGACCCATTAGGAGGAAAACAGGAGGCAAGCTGCCAGGTGGGCAGCTGCTTTTTAGAGGAAACATTTAAGTGGCATGGATTTCTGGCCTCCTTAAAAAGTAAATGACACAGAGTAGTAGTCATTGCAGCACAGCTTCTGAGCAGACTAACCCCCGGAAGGCACCTGGGAATTTAAACTAATCATCTAAACCTGATTACTCTGAGTGATTCAGAGAAGACATGCCTGGTGTGCCTCAACTATTCATTGAGCTGGGCTGTTTTAGTTGACATTTTGATCATTTAAAAAAATAACCCACACAGACTTGCATTTAAAGCTCTTCAATATGTGTTTCTTAAGGGTTTCTCTACTATCCTAATGTCCGGGCTCAGGACTCGCCATCTCAAAATATAGCTGCAGGAGAACAGAATATGCCATCCCAAAATATACTGAGAAATTGCCTGTAGAAGTAGCTCTGAAAAGCTATCCTTTTGTAAAAGAAATTTACATGTATAAAGAAAATCTACATCAATAAAGTAGGTAGAAGGGTGCCATAGGCAACTTTTATCACTTGCTTAACTGGTCAACCTCTATCTTTCACCACTTTCCTTTTCGCCCTTTTATAACTTATGTCACCATCATCCCCAAGAAGCCCAAAGCCGCTATCCTTTTGTGTAACTCCAGACGCTATGTAAGCTTTAATCACCTGCCCTTTCTTTGAGTCTCATATATCGATGGGACTTTCCTGTGCATGTATGCTTTTTTCCTTATAATCTGTCTTTTGTCAATTTAATTCATAGCTCAGCCAAAGAACCCAGGATAGAG